ATCAATTTTTAGCGCCAAAATATTCTTTCTTCCACCTCCAGTGGCTTCCGCTTTTCTATTGGCGGCTGCAGCCGCAATTCTTTTTTGGAGGCAAAATGTTTTGGAGGTCGACACCAATAGAGTGGCGGAAGCCAATGGTGGCCGCCTCCAGAAGAAATTTTGGAGGCGAAGCCATTTGGAGGCTGCCTCCAAATTGGTTGCGGCCTCAAATTGGAGGATGAAATATTTGCCTCTCGCCAGCAGATGTAATGAAAAATAATTGCTGGTTTGCTTTAAAGCAATTAAATATTAACTAGAAACAAATATTAAATACTTGTTGTAATAAATAAATAAATAAATGTTAAATAAATTAACTTTATTAATTTTCAATAATGTTAAAAGATGTTGTGTTTTTCAAATATTTTTACAATATATAATGAATAGAATTAATAATTTAAATAATTAATTTAATTATTTGTCATAAACTTTTTTTTTTTTTTGCTTAAGGCATTTTTTTTGCTTGAGGCAAAAAATTTTAATTTTTAATATGTGTTTTAAAATAAATATTACTAATTTATTCAATAATAATAGATAAACAACCGCTCTGACAAAGTTATAATTTTTTTCAAAAATTTGTTTAAATAGTCAATAAATAATACAAAATAAAACTTTGATGTTAAGTTTTTTAGAGCAATTGGAAATAGGTGAAGTGATTATTAGTAACTTCAGATCACTTTGTTGTTATTTTTTATTATTATTATTAGAAGGATTAATAATAATGACAATTTTTAGACAGTAGAACTGCTGCTGATTTTAGTAAGTTTGCTATATTTTTTAATTATATATTTTTATTAGATTTTATAGATTTATTCTTTATTAGATATATATTTTATTTATTTAACACAGAAAACTGTCTGTGATTTGTTGACAAATAAGTTTATATACATAAATGTGCCTATATCCCAGTATATTTTACATTTCTCTGTATATGAATATTTTCTCTTAAAAAATATTAATATACACATACTCTTAAATTCATTAATTTTTTTTATTACTTTATTAAAATATACTGACTGATATTGCTTCATTTTTTACACTTTTAGATTATGTATTTTTGTTGCTAAATTACACTTTATTGATGTAAATAAATATTATTTTAAATTTTTGATAAACAACATATAAACTTAAAAAAAGATATGGATTTCAATTTATCTTTGATTAGTCTGATAAAAAGTCTTTGATTAGAAAAGATCACAATTTGTAAGATTTTTTTTACATTTTTTTATTATTCAGTTGTAACAATAGTAATATTACTGCTAATATGTTTAAAGAATACAGTGAAATTGAAATGGCTAATAATTTAATAATAAAAGCAAAGAATTTATTTGTGTAAATGCTAATAGGCGAAAATAATTTTTGTCCAAATAAATGAGATAGAGCTAGGCAAGATAAAATTAGTCATTGAAATGTAAGAAATGCTGCTTGGCGAGCAGAAAACTTACTTGCTAGCATTCAGTGTCAAGCCGTGTTAATGTCTGTTTATTTGATTTTACTTTGAACACTTTAGAACAATACCAGGCATGACTTTTACTTTTTATAGTAACAGTCAATAATAGTTTTAAATTTAAATGATTTTAAATTTTTTTAATAAATTTAAACATAATTATGTTCTTTTTTTTTTTAGTTGTTATCACTTGATTAGTTAGCTTACTGTTGAAACATGGTTTTAATTTTGTATGTTTAATGATATGAAATTTACCCTATTAATCATTAGTTGACAGTTAAAGAGAAGTTGGAACTTTACATAATAAAGGTAAAAATAAATTTGTTTACTCTTAGATGAGAGTTAAATGAGAATTACTACATGGAGCATCAATAAAACTTATTTAATTACTGAGCTCTTAAATGTTTCACAATACCACAATTGATAGTTACCATAAATAAAAAAATTTTATGAGCTGCTTACTATTTTATAATATAATTGTTCAAATTGTTTAAAGGGATCCCTAACATATGATCTCATATGAAAGAGCATAAAAAAAAAATATGTAAGTTTTTTTTCTTTTTCACTAAAATGTAATAATAAATGCATGCTAACAAAAAGCAATTGCCGAAATCACTGAAAAACAACTCCATTTTGATTTTATTTTTTTAGTTTAGCTGTTAAAAATCACGTTAGTACGTCACAACAACTTTAGAATATCTACTTCGATTTTCAAGTAAAAAAAAGTCGTGATTAAATAGTTAAGTTTTAATAAAGTTTTTTTAATTAGTTTTGCAAAAACAGTATAATAGAATTCGGTTGAAAGACGTCATTAAAAAAATTGTTTTTTTTAACTACAATTGTTTTTCACACTTTTTTCTTAAAAAAAATCTTTTTGCGATTTGTTTTTTTTTTGGTTGTTTAATTACTTTTACTCTAGCTTAGCATTTTTTTTACCAATTCTTAAAAGTAATGTTTTCATCATAAAGAACGTCACACAAAATTTATTATTCTGAATAGTTAGATGAAAAGATGATTTGTGCCGAGATTTTCTTTCAATGTAAAACATTTTTGAACTTAAATTACTTTAAATCTCTGTGTGGAAAATTTTTAAAAGGTCGGTTAAAGCGAAAAGTTGAAAAAGGCAAAAGACGTTAATTCGAATTTTTTCTTCATTCTAACAAAACAGCCTGGTTTTTATCTTTGTTTATCAAAACATCATGTTTAAAATAAGGCTTAAAAACGTTAGAGCAAAAAAATTGCTGACTTTTATTTGCATTTTTATACTGTTTAAAAAAAAAACTAATAAAAAAAAATTAATTAATATTAATTCTAATAATTATTAATTAATATATTATTAGTTAATTCTTTTTTATTAGTTTTTTTTTTCAAATAGTAAAAATGCTAATAAAAACCAGCAACTTTTTTACTTTAACGTTTTTATGCCATATTTAAAACATGAAGTATAATTTGATTTATTAAACCAAATTTTTTTGTTTCACTTTTTATTGGAAAACAATTGAAATAGAAAAATTGAATAAAAACATCAACTTAAAAACCATTTAAATGAAAAACTTAATTATATTTAAACTTTTATTAGTCCTTTATTCAAGAAACAATAAATTATAAAAAATGTGGTATCTAATTTTTTATTAAGTTTTTGACAATGTTTTTTGATTTATTGACAATAATTTTTTAATTTATTAAAACAATTTCATTTATTTGCTTCATTTTATTTTAAACACATTTTATGTTAAGTAAAAACAATTACTTAATTAATAGTATTAAATACGTTACTTGCTCATTATACTGTAACTGCAACTTAAACTATAAGTTGTAAATTATAACAGTAACTTATGCTATTTTAAACTCCACCAAACAAGAAAATCATAAGATAACATTTAAATATGAGAGATAGTATGTTAAAAGATAACAATTACGTGCTAAAGAGACAATTTTATACTAATGCAAGCCCTTCCCCCATTACCGCACATCGGCGCGAGCTATAAGAGAGAAAGAGAGAGAGAGGGGGGGGGAGGGGAAAGCAAAAAAAAATTTTTTTCGCAATTAGATTTTTTTTGCGTTAATTCGAGCATTGTTTAATTTCTAATAAAATGTCTATTCAATCTTATCAATTTGAACCAAAAAAATATAGCAAAATTAACATAAATGTTAATTTATGTTAATTTTGCTACACCACTACCGCAAAAAAAATGCGGTAGTGGTGTAGTGGTAGAGCGCTCGCTTCATAAACGAGTGGTTCCGGGTTCGATCCCACCACGTCCCTGGTAGTACCGCGCTCAACTCGTTTCTCCGCGCAGCGCCCTTGTTTGTCTAGGTTCGTGTTTCGGAGTTATAAAGTTGAGAGAGGGTGATAGCCACAAAATAAGTAGCCTCCTCGTCTATAGTGGCCTTCTCAGCCTTGAGGAGGTGAAGTAAAATAAAAAAAAATAAAAAAAATTTAACTAAAACATTTTACAATAATTATTTTTTTTATCAAGTGAAAATGAGAAAAACCGTCACTTTCGAAACCATAAAAATGACTGAAATAAATTTATTTTTGTACTAATGAAATATTTTAAATAAACTTTCATGTGCCTACATCAATATTCATTTGTTAAAAACAGACTAAAAAGAGTTTAAAATTTGACATCTATTCATTTTTGGCCATGGAATTGCCCTTATAACACAAATATATAAATAAAAATTAAAAATATTTTTACAAAATTCTACAAAACTTATTCTTGTAAGTAATTTTGTGTTAGTTAAAAAAAAAAACGAATTTACTTTTAAATTTAATTACCAACTAATACGTTTGCAATAATGACATTTTGTGTACTTTGTTTAATTTGACGTACAAACGTTAGTTTTTTGAGGCAATAGATCAATAAACTTTGGACAAGACGCATTTTTTTTAATCGATAAAAAAGCTTTTTTTGAAAATTAAATTTGTTAGTGTGTGTTCATAATTACGTTTTAGAAAAAATAATATACATTAAACACTTTTTTTTAATGCTCTTTCATATAAGATCATATCTTTATAGCACTTAGGGATCCCTTTAACAATAATTCTTCAATATTGTAATAAATAAAATCTTTTTAGTACAAGTATTTTAGTTGAAAAAATATCTTATTAATTTGTGGTGTTACATGTTATTACATTATTTATTACGTTAAGTTGTCTAGCCTTTTTATAATCTTTGCTTTTTTTAATTATTTTGGAAAGACAGTAATGTGTGCTTACACATATTTCTAATGCTATGCGCTATTGTTACTGTGTTTTGTGTTAATGGAACTGGGCTGTTACAGCAAATTTTTATTTTATTTCTACTAACAATAAAACGCAAATAATATTTTTGTAATTAAAAATTGTAATTAAAAAATTGTTCAGACCCAAATAAAACAATATAAAAATAAATATTTTGTAACCTTGATTGAATAATAAACAGCTGATTAAAAGCCTCTTTATTTTTTACCAAAAGTATTTAAACAAATAAAAACTAAAAATTATAAAATGAATGTAAGTTAAAACAAAAACCTTTTGCATGTTTTTTTGATGAATTTGTAGTTTTAGCTTTTGGAACCAAAGTTGATGAAGTATTTATTGAAGCTTTGATAACTGAAGACGAAGTAGGAACCAAAACAAGAGTATTGTTGTTGACCAATGATGTTGAAACTTAAAAAAAAAACAATATTTAAGACATATCACTTAATGACATAAACAGTTTATAGTCTCTGCCTATTTCATTATGATGAAATAGGCAGGAGCTTCAGGACATTTACTTAGAGTTAGGGTATAAACATATATATATCATGCGGCAGTGGTGTAATGGTAAGAGCGCTCGCTTTGTAAGCGGGAGGTTCAGAGTTCGACTCCCACCACGTCCCTGGAAGTACCGCGCTCAACTTAGTTTCTCTGCACAGCGGCCTTGCTCATCAAGGTTCGTGTTTCAGAGTTAAAGAGTTGAGAGATGGTTGTAACATGAGTAACAACAAAAAATAAAAAACACAAAAAAAATGAGTAGCCTCCTCGAATGAAGTGGCCCCCCTCGGGCCTTGGGGAGGTGAATAATTAAAAAAAAACAAAAAAAAAAACAAGGAATAGCAAATGTATGAAGATTTTATTTTACTGATTCTTTTTTCGTTATTTATTTTTCAAAAAAAAATGTCTGGATTAAATGAACATTTAAATTGTCTGGAAAGGTGAGCAATTAAAACCTGCAGAATATTTTAATAATATATTAGAAAATACTTTAAAATAATATAAGTATTATTTATTAGTAATATATTAGAATATAATTTTTTTGTGAATATATAGATTCACAAGATATTTTTACATAAATTTTGTGAAATCTTTTTTTTATTTTAAACAATAATTATAAAAAACCACGATACACAACAATCTAAAAAAATTGGACCATTATGAGCACATTAGAAAATTCAATATTTTGTAAAATTTTTTTACAAAATATTGAAATTTTTATTTTGTAATTGTAAACTGTGATTGTAATTTGTATGTTTTTATATTTGCCCCAAATTCGACTTCTTGTTTATTTGCATTTTGAAAAGGTTTTTTTTTTTATTACTCCTAACATATATGTAGGCTTTGGCAGGGATAAACAACTTTATGAAGGATGAAAAGCCTTACAAACACAAACTAAGGAGGCTAAATGATGGCTTTTCGTGCTGGCTGTCAGCATTTACATAGACTTACACTATAATTTTTTACAAACAAAATCTAGGAAACTTCTTGAAAATCTTGACAAATTTTGAGAAACTAAAATGATTTTAATTGGTTTAAAATCTTTTGTCAGAGTAAATTGATAATGTGCCCTTATAGATTTCATATGTCTGATTCATGGCTTGAGACTTTGATTCTTCTAAAATGTAATAAAGACTTATAGGCTATATAGTGATAGTTAATGGTTGTGACTCATAGTTAATGCTAACAATTAATAACAACATATTGTTAATTTATAAATGTTAAAATCAGTTGTTAATTTATAAATGTTAATATCAGTTGTTAATTAATTAGCATTAAGCACAAAAATACATAAAGTTAAAGAATTATTTATTTTTGTTTTCGGCTTTCATATATATTAAGTCTTTCCAGAAGGCCTGTGCCGTCGCACGCCTTATTTGTCAATGCTTAAAGTATTTTTTAGACAAACTGACCACCACAGTTTGCATCTTTTTAACTTATAAAGAGTTTCGAAAATTCGCAGCAAAAAGCTAAACTTATCTACTAAGAAAAAATTTATTTACAATTTTTATGAGTCCATATAATTAGGAAACTAATTTGCTATGCACGCTAGAACTATAAGAAGTTTTGTTAACTTTTTTCCGTACGTTTATTTGTTTATTATGTTTATTCACTTTTGCGTCTTTTCGCTTTTAATAAAATTTATGCTATATTTGACATTTTTTTCAATAAGAAAATAAGAAAACAAAAAAATAAATTGTTATTTATTTGTAAACAATATTATTTGATAAATAAGTTTTGTTAATGATGGAATAAGTTAAATAAAAGAATAACATTTCTTTAATTTAACTTATTCCATCATTAACAAAACTATAAGTAATAGTTTAAATAAGTAATAAACTATCAGTTTCTTTAATAAATGTATTTACTGCATTTGATGCATGTCTGAAATTGTATTTTTATATTGCCCAATTTCTAAAGTTATTACAAATTACTAGAGATTATGAACATAACGATAGCGCTGTTTAAAAAAATGTATTTAAAAACTTAAAAAAAAGTTTTAGGCTCCTAAAAATTTTGCAGCATCATTTTTTCATTTTTTTTTAAAAACTTGTCAAAAAAAAAATATTTTTTTTCACAAATAAATAGCAATTAGTTTTCTCACTTTCATGTGCATTGATAAAAACAGTAAAGTTTAGCAAAGACATTTGAAAAACAAATTTAAAAATTGTTAATGTTTCTAGTGCAATTTATAAAGTATTTCTTTTATATACTAACTGAAAAAAGTTGCAAAAAAATTGAATATCAAAAAACATTTTTATTTTCATTATATTCATTTCTACTTTTTCCCTCGAATGCTAAAAAATAAGAAACTAAAAGAGTAAAATACTTATGTATATTATTTTTTTTGACAAAAATTATCTTTTTTTATAATTAAACTTTTTTTAGCTTATTTTATTTAGATTTTCTATTTCGCATAGTCTTGGGTTTTTTTCTTCGAGTATTGCTGTTTTAATCTCTAGTTTCTTATTGTTTTGTTTTACCTTGTATTCCTAAAACACTTACTATATAAAAACGTGGTCAAGTTATCTAAAAAGATTAATTTAGGTGTGGACGTACAAGGTATGCATGCACTTCCCAGGAAGGCTTGTATATATCTACAAGTATATTTTCTTATTGACTTTGCTGAACTCTGTGCATAACCTTGGTCTAATTTCACAACATGTGGTAATATTGTCACAGCACTTCCTACCTACAGTTTTTTTAATAATGGGCCTTAATGTAAGGCCAAATTTAAAATCTTTTGTCTTGAAAATGTTTGCGAAGGCCTTGGCCTCGAAACTCTTTTTCTTGGCCTTGGTTTTGAAACTCTTATCCTTAGCCTTAAAACTTTTGGCCTTGGTCTTAGCCTTGCTAATTTTAGCCTTTTAACAACTCTGTCCTTAGCAACACTGTTACTGTACTATTTTTTTAGCTCATTACACTCAGTTCCACTTCCTTGCTTCTCTCAGCTCATTACACTCAGTTCCACTCGTTTCCGCTTTTAAAAGTTATTTCTTTACTCTCAAAGTTTTTTAAGTTTTATGTTCAGTTTGTACTGTTCAGAGTACTTTCCATTTTGTCTTCCTTCCAAGTAAAGACAAATCAATAAATTTGCAAACTACAACAAAAATGGGAGAAAATTTTACATTTTATCATATTCCCTTATTAAAGCATCTTGACATTTTACTGTAGAGTTTAAAAACAAATGCAGCGTTATACAATTCTATTTTAGTAAATTCTCAGTTTATTAAAAACCGTGAACACTGTTTTAATGAAACAGTCAATTTATCATTAATGAAAAAACAAAACAATAACTATAACTATAAAAACTTAACTATAAAAAGTTTAAATTAATTTTTATATATTTTTAGTCTCCTCTGTCTTTGATTTTGTATACACAAAGTGACATATCCAGAAATTTTTTGAGCATACCGGTCAAAAAATTCTGTCTACGATAAAGCTTTTTTTTTTTTTTTGTACACAAATTTAATTCATTCGTTTTATTCGCTTACTAATATATAGAATATTATTTCATAAACAAGCAATAATTAAAACATTTAATAAACAATATTTCTATGTTTCTTTTATATTGACTTATTTATTGTGTACTTATTGCATAACAAGGTCAATTCATTCAAAATTTTAATTAATTCATTCAAAAATTAATAACTTATTTTCTTGCCATTTTCTTACTGTTCAAATCAAGTTTTTTGGCATGATTATTATGTTATTATGTTTTAAAAACTTTTATTTATCTAATTATTTCAAACATTTTTAATGGAAATTATACTGCAGACCTTGTGATGAATAAAAACTGCACGGCGCATAAGCAGAAGGTGATTTTTGACAAAATTAAATTCTTTTTACTTGCTTTTCATATTTATTGACGTTAACTGCACCAATTTACTTAATTACCGCAAAACTAGTATAAATCATTAATGTAGAAATGTTATTATTTAAAAATGTTTTGGAATGTTTTGTTTTTTAAAATGTAAAAATTTTTTTTTTATTTTCTCGACGTTTGACACGTTTTGTCTATATTAAACGAATAAAAAACATTATAACTAAACATTAAAAAAAAATTATAAAATATGCTAATATTTTATTTTTATTTTTCTTAAATATGTAATTTAAAGATTTTCAAATAATTATTTTTTCTTTTTAAAAAGTCAGCGAATAACAAACTGGAAATTTTAATATTGTACAATTAAAAACTGTGCAATAGCTAATATTTTTACTAGCAATTTTATATAATATTTATTTATTTTGTTTTATATATTTTCATAAAGCGGTTGATAAGCACAATCACTCGTATTACTAAAAAACTTTAACGAAAGTTTTGAATAGATTTTTAATGTTTATAAGGAATTTTTTTTGATAAATTTTTGGTAAAATAAAATAAAATGTTAGAATAAAAATCTTATAGGTATGAAAGAAATATTTCAGCAAAAAAATTTATTCTTAAAAATTATTATTAAAAACTATTTAAAAAACTTTTGACGTTCTATTTTTCAGCAGCTGTTCTTGAGCACGCTTCGTTGAGTTTCGGTAACTTTTAACAAAAAAGCGATTGTTATTATTTAAGTAATTTTTTTCGAGTTACTTTTTATAAAAATTTTAATAGCTGTACTTTTTTATTGAATCAAGTAGAATAGGTTTTAATATTAATCCTTTTATTTTTTTTTTATTTGCGCTTACCAAATTTTAAAATAATTTCTCATAAATACTTTAAATATGTCTAACAGTTAATAAATATTTTTAAATCTATGGAATAATTTTAAAAACTAAAAAAATACGATAAAATAATTATTTAAGTTAAAAATCTAAAACTAAAAGAAAGTATTTTTGTTCAATTTTATCAACAACTTTGCTATTGCTGAATAATTTTACTAATATGTTAGCTTAAAAAGATTTAAACTTTTTTTTTAATCTGAATTTTTTCTACTTGTAAATAATGAGCATATTTAGTTTTTTTGTAATTCAAACTTTTATATGAACTGCGTGCGGTTTTTAAAATAAATGTTAAAATAATCGTAAATTACTTCATTAAAATTCCACTCAAAAATATCTTTAAATATACTCAAACAAAAAATTTTTTGCTCAACGAAAATAGCCCTAGCTACACGCAAAATAGCTCTTGGACGACATAAAATTCACATCTTCCGACGCTTTATCGCAAGGCCTGATACTGTAATTTGAAATGAAAAAGTTTAAATCTCATATAATTTAATAATTAAATAAAATTTAATCGCTTTGAAAATTATGAAAACAGAGGAGAAACTCATATTAGAGTATTTTAAAAATGTTTTTATTAAAAAACAGTAAGCGTTTCATATTTTAAATCAATCAATTTACATTTTAATCCAATTGTAACATATTCTATACTTTCTTAACGTGAATTCAAAATAAGCTTTCTTTTTGGCTTAAAATAGATTTATAATGTGTTTTAGAAGTTGTTTTTCAAATGTAAGTGACATTAATAGCAAATTTTATCATCATAATTATCATCATAATTATCATAATTATGATGATATGGCCCCCACCATAATATATATATTGGATGTTATAATGGAAATATAAATAATGAAATAAGATCACCTCAATACCAAAAAATGCATTTTTTAAAATCAGAAAAAAAATGCATTAATAATTTTTTTTTTAATATTTACAAAGTAAATTAATAAAGGTGCATTATTATTTAGATTAAAAACTATTTTATCTAATATTTTGAAAGAAAAATTTATAACAAAAGAAATCAAAATACACGTGGTCTAGACGATTATTTAAAAAAAGTTGCGCAAATAAAATACTATTTTGTTTTTTATTTTATTTTAAATTTTATTTTGTTTTAAATTTTGTTTTACAAACACATTTTAGAACTTTAAAATATAATAAAAATGAATATGATTTGGAAATTGTATGTAAAAAATAACAATCGGTGCTTTAAACAAACAAAACAAAAAAACTATGACTTCATGCACTAAAACTCCTATGAATTAAACGCGCTTGAATAAATTATCAAGTCTGTATAATGCGCCTGAAAAATTGCGTTTATTTTACATACTCAAAATACCAGAGTAAACGGAGAAGATGAGCTTCGACTAAAACAACCAGATTTGTTTTTCTTGGTATACATTTATTATTTAGTTTTAATCAAAAAAAATTTGCTCAGACGTTTTTTTTTAACATTCTCTTTAATATGAACACAACATGTCTCGGGACTTGGTAGTCCCTTTAAGGCAAGTGAAAACACAACGGTATATATTTTTTTAATAAATGGTACTTGGAAACTTAAATCTTTGTTTGTCACATGAAAAGCACTTGTAAAATAATTAACTTGAGTTTTTTTTTTTTTTTTTTTTTAAACAAGTAATATTTTTTGTTTGCTTATAACTTTTTAAAAAGTAAAAAATTATTATTTGCAAAGTTACAACTTTAAGAAATAATGAAAAAAAGTATGAAGATATTATAATTCATTTATACTAATGTAGAGAGAAGAAAAAAACTAATTTATGTTAAATGATATTAAAAAATTTAATATTAAATTTAATCATTTATTATTAAAAAAACAAACCAACAAATTATTAAAGAAAATAACACTTCTAGATTTGTTTTTCTTTTATTAAAATAATAAGTAAAATAAACTTGTTTTGGAGTAATTCATTTTATTGCAGTAGTAAGATAATTTTATGACGTCAAAGTCATGAGGAGCTAATGTGCTAAGCTGTTTTTTATGTAAACCCCCTGTTTTTTATGTAAAAATTAATTTATTTATACAAATACAATCATATACAAATGTATACATACATATATAGATATACAGTTTACAAAATATTTACAACTTTATAAATGTCCGACCAACATTTAACAAGAGAAAAAAAATTGCACAAAAAAATCATGACATTATAAGCAATAGGTAACAATGTCTAATAAACAATTCAAAAGAATGTCTAAAAAAAAATAATATTAACAATGTAAGAAAATAATATAAAGTTAAACTTTCTTTTTTTTTTTTTCCCCAGTTCCTTTTTTGCTGTAAAGTTTTTATTTGATATTTTTGTTTGCGGTACTTTTTTATTATTGTTTCCTATTTTCAAACTTCTTTTTTTAGTTTTTAAATGTATTTTGTTTTTAATAGTTTTTTTTCCTTATTCTTTTTTCTCTCAAGTTTTTTTATTTATTTAAATTGCTTGGTCTTGTTTTTACTTGGTTTATTGTTGTTTGTTTTTTCTTCTGTTTTAAACTTTTTCTCTTCTTTATCTTTTTTTTTTCTTTTTTCTTTTCACAGTTAAAAAACACAGAAATTTGCAATGTCATTTAAAAACATGATCATAATATAACTTGCTAAAATATCATTAACAATATTATTTGTTAAGATATCACTTATATTATAGTTTGATATCTTTTTGTTTTTCCAGTTAGATTTATTGTATTTGATTGTAACTAACTAAAAATATTAAAGGCAAATAAATGTTTTTCACACATTTCTATATATATGTGTTAAAACAGTTCTACATTTCAAGCCAAAATTTTGTGTGGTTATTTTCTTTGAAAAAATGTACTTAAGCCAAAGAAGTTTGAAGAAAGTATGTTGGTTGGTTGAAATTTTAAAAAATTTAATTGATTTTTTATTGAACTTTACTTTCTTTTTTTCTTTTAAAACATTCAAAATTTGAAATAACAAAAAGTGATTTAAAAAAATTTGTTTTGTATTGTTTTTAAAATTAAAAGAACTTATTCACCAAACCATTGTCAAAAGTATTTGAGTTTTTTTTTTAATTTTATTTTAAATATTTATTAAAATTTTGTTAAATTTTTTTTAAAATTAACATTGACATCTTTATAACGATTTAATAAAAATAATCTATTTTAGATATCTATTTTTTTTCTAGTTAAATTATTTAAAGTGTGTTAAATATATCAATTATATCGATAAATTAATAATGTTAACAAAAGTAAAACATGATCTAATTGCTTTTCTTAATTTATAATAAGTAGGTCAACTCTTTTAATGCTCAGTATAAACAGTACAAAACAAATTAAAATTTTTTGAAACATGCACAAAAGCTTTAAAAAAAAAGGTGTTTCCAATAAAATGTCAAATCAACCATTATCACTAACAGCTTGCTCTCTCTCTCTCTCTCTCTCTCTCTCTCTCTCTCTCTCTCTCTCTCTCTCTCTCTATATATATATATATATATATATATATATATATATATATATATATATATATATATATATATATATATAATTATTATTTTATGTTTATATATTTTTTTAGATGGTTATTGTAGTTTCTACATGAAGTTAACAGATATTAAAATTATTAAATGTATTAGAACTATAAAACACAATTACCTATAAGTTTAAAAACTGAACTATTTTATATGAAATATGTAATTAAAATTACCTTGAATAGTGGTTTCATTTAATGTTGGAGTACCTAATGTTGTGTTTTGAGAGGTTAAAGCTGTATTATTTTCACAATATACCAATGATATGGAAACAAAAATCAACAAAATCATTATTAGAGAAGTCATCTAAAAAAAATTATTAAAATAAATTTATGAATTTTAATATACTATTACCCTTATATTACATATCACTTAAATGCAATATTAGCAAAATGCAATATCAAACAAGCTAACACAGTGAATAACAACTGTTTGCTACTTGATATCCTTAATAGATACTTTATAGTTAATATGATTGACTGGTGTAACAGTTTCAGAATATTTTTTTACAAATTAATTGTTCAAAGAATTGAAACAATAGCATTCTGATAAAATTATAATGAATTTTTTTTTTTTTAGCATTTCAATAAATGACATGATTAAGCTACTTAATAATTTATTTGTTTTTATTTTAAATTTACATAAAGCAGGGTTAATAATAAAACAGGTTTAAAATCTGTAAAAATATCAAAGTATCAAGATTTAACTTGCTTCTCCTATTAGACTAAATCACATTAAAAACAACAATAAAATATAATATCAATTAAAGTTAACTAAAGTATACATTTGTATAAATTTATTTTAAACATTCCAATACTTATTAAATTTTTTAGCCAATTTCTGTAGACCTTTTTAGACAAGTTTGTATACACACACCCTTTGGACACCTAACAATACTACTGCAAATAATATATTTAGACAAATAGAATTTTTAAATACTTTTCAGAGCTTATTAAAGGGTTTGATAGAGTATTAAACAAGATTATTAAGAGCTATTTAAAAAGAAAACACTTTAAGATAAAAAGCTCAAGAAGTTTAAGGAGTTCCAGACAAAATTTAAAACTTATTTCATGTCAACATTATGTCAACAGTTACAGTCTAAGTCTAAACAAAAATATGAAACCTGTTGTAAGAAAACTGTTTTTGTTTACAATATTTTTGTGCATTGCAATCAAATTCAAGAGTTTTTCATATTCTAGAATTGCTGAAAATTGTAAATTACTTACTTTTACTTTGAATTAAAAAAACAACAAAAACACTAAAAAAATTTATCAACATAAAATAGTAACAAAAAATTTTAATCTGATATATTGATAATAATTTTATTTTCTATTATTTTTTGTTACAATAAAAATACTAAAACATTTTAAAGATTTTTATATTTTTATGTTCAATGAATTAAATTCAAATTCTTTTTGTTCTACTCACCTCCCACAAAGCTTTGTATTAAATATTTATATTACCATTTAGTTGCATAGCTGGCTGAAAAATCTAAGTTTAAATACTTTTATTGGCATATTTTGTATCTATAAAACCTAAGTAATTTTTTGTAACTATTCGACATTTGTTATCAGCGTGGAGTTACATAATAGCAGTATTGCAAAGATAAATATAAATTCATAACACATAGATACCATTTAAACGTCTTAAATATATGACTATGACTCTGCCGATGATGACAGCTGTAAAAAAAACATGAATAAAATTAAATTTACTTGAAACAAAATTCATTAAATATGCAAAATCTTATTAATAATTAGCTCTTATTATATATAGACAAGTTGTATACATTAATATAAAAGGTTGTAAATACTAATATTGTAAGTATAAATTATTGACAAATTTATACACATGCCATGAATTTTTTTTCCATTAATTAAAGTTAGTTTAACCTTAATAATTCCGGTTAAACTTTTTTTTATTAGGTTAAATAGAATAAAAATGCACAAAGCAATAAAAAATTAGTGCTCATTATACTGAATATATACTGATCAAACAAAAATTATCACTATATAATCAAATGTCAAATCATATTAAAGTTTGTCATAAACAAAAAGTGGTGTTTAAATAAAATCAGTAATCGCTCATTTTTCAATTCTAATTAATGAAGGAAGCACGTGCATTAGACACCAGGTTGCTTAAACTCTCTCACAATAAATTATGCTGCTCAGCTGCGTAATTTTTTTTGGAAAAAATGCCGCTGTCAAAAAATTTTGATTCATAAAGTTTGTTTTAAAAATTTGGATAACGAAAAATATAAGTGTAGTGCAGTAAGCATTGGGATCAAAATTTTTTATACTCACTGTCTCCTGGATAAAAAATTAAACAAAATTTGGTTTAAAAGTAAATAAAAAGTTATTAGTTTCACACACCTATCGAAATAGGCCACCACCATCACTTTTCAATACATGCTGGGTTTTGAATATCAGTGAAATAGTTCAGTGGCGGAACTTCAAAATTTGCCCCCCCCCCCCCGCAAAAGAATGTTTTTTTTGCGGAAAAGAGTTTTATAATATAAATATTATTGAGAGTATAACTTTTTTTATATGAGGGCCCCCTATAGCTAGTAGGCCCCCCCGCAACGCAGGGTCCTGCGTCCAGTAGTTCCGCCACTGAAATAGTTATCTCCCAAAAAACTCAAAAAACGAAAGAAAAAAAAAAAGAAAAAAAAGCATATCTACCTGAGTCTCAAAAAATTACCAATAGTTTTTTTGTACGTAAAATTCAAAACCTTGATTTTTATTTAATAAAAATCAAGGTTTTCAATTTTATGTACCAAAAAAAAAACATTTTTTTACAAGAGGTTGTCCATTAATTAGATATTTTATTAGGTTTTGTAATTATATTAATTATAAAATTAATTAGGTTTTGAGGTGTCCATTAGTTATGTTAACAAAATAGCCTGACAATTGTTGACAAAGGGGAGGAGGAAGATTTAAAAAGGTTGACGTCATAATATTAGTTTTTTAAACAAATTAATTTTTTTGAAGGGAAAAAAATATGTGCTTTTTTTTTCATTTTCAAAATCGCTAAAATATTGAATATTATTGACATTACTAAGACTAAGCTTTAATATATTGAGCTAGAAACGTTGTAATTTTCTACAACATGTCTATAACTACATATTGTAGCTAACTCAGTATAACGACAAATCTATACCTAGTCGATGGCTGTCGATACCTAATCGACGGCTGTCGATAAGCTGACTATATTATTGCGATGTTGTTAACTACATATTGTAAAAAAATATATACTTTTTTAATTTATTTTAGGTGCCCAAGAAATCCTTATGGTCTAATGACAAAGCACAGCGGAAAAACATTTGAAAGGAAGTTCACGCGTACTTCCTTATCGATGTTATAAAACTGGCCCAGAGGCGGCGCTGGACCATAGATCTCTAGTTTCTGAGGCAAGCGCACTAACCACTGCGCTACGGCAGCTCAATAATATTGCTTGGTAACTTTGTAGCTAACTATATCATTAAAGGCATGGACAGGATTTTTTTGTTTTTGAGATAAGTAACTTTCAGACATAGAGCAAACTCGAATCATTTATATATTTATACTTACGTCAAATAAGGATGCTTTGCAAAAAAATTGTGATGATCGGAACTTGGGAACAAAAAAGCTCAAAAATTTGATGCAATACGTTGATAAAATATTATTTACTATTCTTAACTAGACTTATATTCATCAATAAATTTTAAATTTCATTGAACAATCTCTTAGCGTTTAATAGTTATAGGCACTTCACTCGATTTTACTATTATTATTATCTATTGTTATAATAAATACCAATGTATGGGGATAATAAAGACGTTTTTTAAAATGAGTTCGTTTTTAAAATTTGGATAACTGGTTCCCAAGTTATGACAGTTAATATTGGGCTTATTTTTTGACAAGATTTGTTGAGTTTTCCTTGAGGATTTATGGCACCAAATTTTGATAAAAAAATTATTTTCAAAAGCTATCAATGAGAACGAGTTTCATTGAAGTACTTATGCTAAATTATTTTTATTGATTTCTTTTTTTACTAAAGAATCAAAGCATTCAATTCTGAAAATTATTATTCTCTTATTAGGGGCCCCTAGGTAAGGATTCCACTGCTCGTTTGCCCCATTTTGGGCATTTGGATCAAAAGCTATAAAAACTTTGTTAAAACCGTAAAAATTAACTTTAAGTAAAGAAATAGAGTTTTTTCAAACTGTCAGAGTAAATTTGATATTTATAAATGTAAATAAACAATTTACATTTATAAATATCAAAAGTATGTGTAAAAAGTTCAGGTCTAATTCCCCAAATTGAGGCGATTGGGCCGAGTTTGAAATTTCTGTAAAAACAAAAAAAATAAACTTTAGGTAAAAAAACGAGAGCTTTTTTATATTGTAAGAGTAAATAAATTCAAATACATTTTTAAAAATCTAAATTATCCGGAACGAAATGTCTTTTTTAACCATAGAAATACAATGCCTTGCTTTGTCCAACCACTGTCTGAAACACTCCTTGTACTTTCTTCTAGGGCATTTTCAAACTAAATGCTCGAGAAAGAATTAGTAGTTTTTCTTTTAAATATGAAATGTGGAAGAAAAGAGTTACCCATTGCATTGACAAAAGTTATTTCTCTGATTGTTTCCCGGTTACCTAATTGGCGATATTGTAGATACTCAACTCTTTTTTTTAGCAACTTTTTTTCCAGGACGATAATCAAACTGCATCCCAGTCTCATCCATATTCCAAATATTTTGTGGTTTCTGAAATAGGTTGTTTTCCGTTAACACATTTTTAACAATGGAAAAATATTTCAACACTTTACAAATATTTTAATCTTTTCATTTTAAATCTTTCAATTTTAATCTTTTCATTTTAAAGTAAATTTAACTATAAAATGGTTATGACTGTCTAAAAATAGACATTTTTGTATAACGTTTAATTAAACGTTATAAAAAAATAAGCAAAAAAGCATACACCGTTTTAACAGCATTATATCACAACTATTAGCAATTTAAAAGATTTACAAAAGCAAAATGTTTGAATGTATTCAGGAAAACTTTGAAAATACCAAACATCGAGTTTACAGAATATATTTATCAAATTTTTAAAAAATGATCTCAAAACAGTTAACGAGTCAATAAGTACTTTAAACTGCATATTTATAAATTATAAAGTCTAAATATTGTATTTTTACTTTAAAGCAATCAATACAACCCTGCATTAAAGATTTTTTTGAAAATCGTTTAGAATAAGGACGCATATATAAGTCAGTTTATCCTAAATAACTAGCTATGTAGGTTGAACGGAGTACCATAAAGGCGTCAAGATAAATATCGAAAAAAATAAAAAAAAGTGATTTTTTTAAATTGTAAAGTCCAGATTTAAAAAACAAATTTTATAAAAACAAGTATCAAATATTGTAATATCCCGGGGGGAAATGAGCTAGCGACTAGCGAGCGAGTAGCTAGCTTTATAGCGATTTTCAAGCGATTTTTTTTTTTCTCATTTTATTCTTTCTAATGTCTCTAACATCTTTAAAAACTCGATTTTTAGTGTTGAGTCTATTATAATTATGAGAATAATTGAACTTTAAATATTACGATTTTGTAGCAATGTGTCGCTAGCTACATATCGTAGCTTTGTAGCTAGCTACAAAATATCTACAAATCCAGAGCTGTTTGATAGCTACATACCAAAATTTTTTTGATAGCGATTTTATTACGATATGACGGTAGCTACAATAGCCTGTGAGTCTTTAGCTTATTAAGCTAGCTGTCCTCGTAGCCAAATCGCTGTCTTTATCTTTACCAATATCGTAACGATTATAGCTAGCTATTCGCTAACCAATATCCCACCGGGATAATAAGCAAAAAAATATTTTTTGATGTGCTAGAACCCAAAAAAAGCAATTTATAACATATATATATGCTTATTTTATTTACACTTTTTGACAAGTATATATAGTTGTCAAAAAGTGTAAATAAAATAAACTATAGAGAAAACGACTTGAAAAATCTTCTAGCTTCTTTTTTAAGAAACTTTGAAGAATAATCTCCACAGATCAACATTTTTTTTTTAATTTTTGCGAGTGAAACACAACAGGCAATAGGGTTTGAAATTAGGTTCTATGAAAATATATATATATATAAATATATATAAATATATATATATATATATATATATATATATATATATATATATATATATATATATATATAATATATATATATATATATATATATATATATATATATATATATATATATATATATATATAGTTTTGTATAGTAGTCACAAAGTTTTTCCCATAAACTGTTGTTTTAAAGAGCGCATTAATAAGCCTGACCAGAAAATGTTAAAAAACTTCATAAAAATTTTTTTTTTAATGATAGATTGCCTGCCCAAACCAAACCCTCAGTCGATGTAGCAGCACTCCCTTGCGAGTCAGGCTATTTGTCAGTC